TTTTTAGACTAGTACACTTGCTACATTTGTATGTTTGTCAAAAATACGCATCAGTAAACTCTTTTGATTATATTGAATTTAAGTGGATCGTTAGATTCCCGTGGTTTTTTTATCTCTTCATATTGAAGAGGTTTTTCCACGTAACAATTTTCTTATGTTTCCTTGTGAATTGGATGTTATTTTCTTATGTTTTCACCAGTTGATCGGCAAACAGTGGCAGAGCGAGGGGGCCCCCCTGGACAAAAATCCTGGGTCCGCCACTGTTAATCAAGGTTGCTCTGATACCATGTAAAGACTAGGGTTTGCAAGAATCTGTTGAGAGTAAAGAAGAAGAAGCAAAAACGAATTTGGCTATCTGATTTATGTATTGAACTAACTAACTGAAAACTGGTGCAAGAATCAGTTTTATAACTGATTTTACAGACATGAAACGACATCATTTTGGAGCTGAATTCTCAGCTACTTGCTTACTCAAAACGACAGTGCTTTGAACTGTCCTATAACCTCAAAACGTCACTGTTAGACTTAATCTTCACACTTGGGCCACCCTTTTCCATTGAATCTTTCAACTCATTCGGTGAATATAGTGCACTGGCCTTCAGAAAATGAAATTTCTGATTCAGCCCCTGATTGGTAGTGATCAACATCCTGTTATGATATTTAGTAAACTATTATTTGATTTCTGTAAAAAAAAATAAAAAAAAAATATAAGACTTTGATAGCTCTTCTGTCGATTACACATGGTTGTACAATGTCAAAATCATTGATTGTAATACCATCAATATTTAAGGAGGACTACACCAGAGAATAACACTTCTCTTCCCCAATAATGCAAATGCGCCTTCATTATAATAACCTTTAAATGTAGGTTCTAATACTAATTCTGATAATGTAAAATCAAATCTACATGTAAGAAATCTAATGATAATGAAATATAAAATTAACCATTCCTGCTGGCTAGAGGTCTTCTCTTGATAATATATAGGAAACTTGTTCTACAAAAATATTGATTTTGAATTAATGTAAATTTTAGGATAACTTGTTCTCATAAAAATTAATAACATTAAATGGTAAAAGTCATACTACAGTGTGTGGACCGACTCACTCAGCTTGTTCACATAAAAATTGATAGCTCTTTTGTCGATTACACATATGGTTGTACAATGTCAAAATCATTGATTGTAGTACCATCAATATTTAAGGAGGACTACACCAGAGAATAATATTTCTCTTACCCTATAATGCAAATGCCTTCATTATAATAACCTTTCAATGTAGGTTCTAATACTAATTCTCATAGTATAAAATCAAATCTACATGTAAGAAATCTATTGATAATTAATGAATTGCTGGAAAAATAAATTAATTGCTGTTTAATTGAGGAAGCCCAGACCCCAAGGCAACGCCTTTTTTGACTATTAAAAACGCATCTCTTTATTGCTTCATCTCTCTTATATAAAAGCTTACAATTAACAAAATATAAAAATAATAGGAACTAATGCCTAGAAAATAGGAGATAATCACTCCAACAATCATGTTTGCCACAGTCAAATATTATCCTTATTTAACTAATTCAACTATAACTCATTAAAAACTAGATAATTTAATTAAAAATGCATTTATTTTTTAAGAACGTAATATTCTTTTCCCCTTGAAAACACCCTTGTCCTCAAGGGTTTAATTCAACTAAGGTGGCCATGGAATTTCAGGACTTCCACTAGTAATTTTCATCTCTTCATTTGCATCATTGTCATTGAGACAAGCTAGAATCATGAAAAACTTTTGCCAATGATGTCCGAGACCAAATTTTTCATTACATTTGAAGCATAATCCCCTTTTCCTTCTTTCATCTATTTCTTCCGTTGTTAGTCTTTTGATTGGCATTGTTGCTGGACCACTTTGAGCTTCATAATTTGTGGAGGAAACTTTGGATGAGACGAGATCACGGGCTTTGTTCCTAGCTTTGTAAAGCTTGGCTAACCCAATGGTTGAGGATAATGTTGAAGGCCTTCCCGCTTGAACTTCAATTTTGATATCTTCCTTTAAGCCATTGATAAAACAACTGACCTGCTTTTCTAGTGCCAAATGTCTAGTTTTGGAAAGCAATTTTTCAAACTTAGTCTGATATTCCTCAACAGATCCTTGCTACTGCAATTTGGTGAGTTTGTGTAAGGAATCAAAATATTGGTTTGGACTGTAATGACAGTGAAGCCCATATTTGAATTCTTCCCAACTAATAACTGGTGTTTCCTACTTCAGGAGTTGATACCATAATTGGGTGTCTCCTTCTAAATAAAAGGATGTAAGCGACACTCTATCAGTTGATGGAGTGTCATGAAATTGAAAAAATTGCTCAACTTGGCATATCCAACTAGTAGAGTCTTCTTGGCCGTTAAAATGAGGAAAAATCAATTTGACTAACTTTGGTGTGTACTTGGAGTGAGAGCCATCCCCACTGCTACTACCATGAGCCCCACTGAGGCGGGTCTTAGCTCTAGAACTCTCTCCTTCTTGCCTTGAAATTTGATCAGTTCGGGAATTGAGTTGGGAGAATAATTCCTTTAGTTGATTGATGATGGCTTGCTATCCCCCTGACAGGGACTGCGCTTCCTTCTCCAATTGCTCCACTCTCTTATCCATGCCTGAGCTCTAATACCACTTTGGTATGAACTGGTTTTTCTTTTTACAAGTACCTATATTGTAGAGTAGAGTTAGCTGGAAAAATAAATTAATTACTGGTTTAATTGAGGAAGCCAAGACCCCAAGGCAACATCTTTTTTTACTATTAAAAACTCACCTCTTTACTGCTTCATCTCTCTTTATTAAAAAGTCATGATAACGTGCATAGACCATCTCACTAAACTTGGGAAACGAATGATCTCAAAAGAACTCTATGAATAGAGAAAAAAAAAAAAAAAGAATTGTTAGATAGAAGCACATCCAATTAACATTCTCTACCAAGTTAATTGATTTTAGTAATGGCGTCCAAAGCTTTTCTCCTCTTCTCCTTTGCAATCCTCCTCCCTTCTCTCCTCTCTCATTCAGTTTTAGCAGACAACACCAATAAAAAAAAAACAATCACCATTTGAGTTCATCAACCATCTCCATGATTGTCATAAAGGCGACAAAGTTAAAGACATCAATGAGCTCAAAAAATACCTTGAAAAGTTTGGTTACTTGAACGTAGAGTAGAGTTAGCTGAAAAAATAAATTAATTGCTGGTTTAATTGAGGAAACCAAGAGCTCAAGGCAACACCATTTTTGACTATTAAAAATGCACCTCTTTATTGCTTCATCTCTCTTTATTAAAAAGTCATGATACCGTGTATGGACCGTCTCACACAACTTGGGAAACGAATGATCTCAGAAGAACTCTATAAATAGAGAAAAAAGATCGTTAGATACAAGCACAGCCAATCAACATTTCTCTACCAAGTTAATTGATTTTAGCAATGGCGTCTAAAGCTTTTCTCCTCTTCTCATTTGTAATCCTACTTCTTTCTCTCCTCTCTCATTCAGTTTTAGCAGACAACACCAATGACAAAAAACAATCACCATTTGAGTTCATCAACCATCTCCAAGGTTGTCATAAAGGCGACAAAGTTAAAGGCACCAATGAGCTCAAAAAATACCTTGAAAAGTTTGGTTACTTGAACTATAGCTCTTCCACGACTCAAAAGCATGCGAATGATGATGATTTTGATGAGCTATTAGAATCAGCTATCAAAACCTACCAGCTTAATTATCATCTTAAAGCCACTGGAGTTTTGGATGCCAAAACTGTTTCAAAGATGACAATGCCTCGATGTGGAGTAGCAGATATTATTAATGGCGCAACTCGGATGCGGTCTGGCCAGAAAAGACATCACAATGCCTCCAGCCATTTCCACACGGTCGCTCACTATGCATTTTTCCCTGGAAAACCTAAGTGGCCAGCAAACAAGTACCGTCTCACCTATGCATTTCTTCCAGGGACTCGAGCTGATGCCATGACCCCTGTTGCTAAAGCTTTCACGACATGGGCTGGAAATACACATTTCAGATTCACACAGACTCAGGACGCTAGAAATGCCGATATCACGGTTAGTTTCCACAGCGGTGATCATAGAGATGGTTACCCCTTTGATGGCCCTGGCGGAACCCTTGCTCATGCCTATGCCCCAACGGACGGAAGGTTCCATTACGATGCAGATGAGAGATGGTCTGTGCGTGCAACCCAAGGCTCATTTCACTTGGAGACTGTTGCATTGCATGAAATTGGGCATCTTCTTGGACTTGAGCATAGCTCAGTTGAGGGGGCTATCATGTTCCCTTATATTCCTGCTGGAGTGACAAAGGGTTTGCATGGAGATGACATTCAAGGCATCAGGGCTTTATATAATGTTTAAGGAGTTATTTCAAGATTTCCTACCGTGAGATAAGAATAAATGAGACTTATGCTACCGAATAAATCAAGGGGGAAAGACAGTCAGTTGTACTTTCCATATTTCATTAGCTTCAAAATTTCAAAACAAAATGATACTTTAATTATCAGGAATAAAAACCATATACACTAGTAAATGATCACCATTGCTTTATATTTTATGTTTTTTCGGTATTGGAAATGTGTTCACTTAATTTAGAAGAACGTCTTGATTGGTTCATATATACATATATATATATACTAATATTGATAATACTATTCCATTGGTCCTCACATAAATAAAAGAATGATTCAAGTTGAAAGAGATCTCTTTTTAATTAGCACATAAAATTACAATATAATGACTAATGAAATAAAAAATTCCTGAAGTTTTCATCTTGTTGTTTATATATATTCATAGACACCTCAATAGCCCGCAAAAGAATCAGTATTTAACGTAGCAACCAAATGCATACTAAGAAAACATTAAACATGAATACGTCAATGAGGCTAATTGAACATTCATCCGAAAGCTTTTTATATATCAGGTTTCGAAACATACTTAGGCATTGTCCTTAATTACAAGCTTGATTATCCCATGGATTTGCAGACTTGTATCGTTATCCTCATCTCTCTCTGCATTTGTTTACTAATTAGCTTCATTTTCAGTCGTTTCTTCTCCTCAAAAACCACAAATACCAGAAAGCTCCCACCAGGACCTCCCACTTTTCACCTCATTGCCAACTTCTTATGGCATCGAAGACCTTTCTTTGAGTTTGGAAAAATCGTCTCTAATCTTCGCAAAAGGTAGGGTCCGATCATCACCATAAAAAGGGGCGCCGAACCCACCATTTTCATCACCAACAACACTCTCGCTTACCAAGCACTCGTTCTAAATGGTGCCATCTTCGCAGACCGCCCAAAAACCATATTTGCCGATCGAATCTTTCCAAACAAACGTGAAGGCGTAAGCCTCTTGCCCTATGGCGCAACTTGGTGCTCCCTCCGCCGAAACCTTACAGGTACATCAGGAGTTCTCCACCCTTCTCGTCTTATATCCTGCTCTCATATCCGTAAACGTGTCTTGGACAATTTAATTCATCGCTTTAAACAGGATTCTGAACATGGCGGAGGCGTTCATGTAGTTGATCATTTTACGTACACAATTTTTTCTTTGGTAGTTCTCATGTGTTTCGGGAATAATCTTGATGAGAATACAATTAGGGAGCTTGAATGCTCACAAAACAAATTTTTTACTTGTTTTCCTAAAGTGAAAGTCTTTCTTATCATGCCAAATTTGGGGAAGATCTTATTTAGAAATCGATGGAATGAGTTTGTAAATATGCTTAAAGATCGAGAAGATATGTTTTTGTCCTTGATTAGAGCCAGAAAGAAAATGAAACTAGGTGAAAATAAGGGAGAAAACATAGATCAGTTTGTGTCATACGTTGGTACCTTATTGGAATTACAAGTTCCAAATGAGAACAAGAAGTTTGAAGAAGGCGACATAGTATCTTTAAGCGATGAATTTATTAGTGCTGGAACTGATACGACAACAGCATTGCAATGGATCATGGCAAATGTGGTCAAGTACCCTCGAATTCACGAAAAAAATTTGGCTGAAATGAGAGGTGTTGTTGAACAAGGACGAAAATGGATCAAAGAAGATGATTTGCAGAAGTTGCCTTATTTGAAAGCAGTGGTTCTTGAAGGATTAAGACGTCACCCGCCGACTTACCAGGCGGCGACACCGCATGTGGTGACCGAAGATACCGAATTGGGTGGCTACCTTATACCCAAAGGTACAACAGTGAACTTCTTGATAGCGGACAGGGGAAGAGATCCGAATATGTGGAAAGATCCTGTGGAGTTCAAGCCAGAGAGATTTCTGTTTAGCCATGGAGACAAAAGTTTTGATATAAGAGGTAGAGAGATTAAAATGATGCCATTTGGTGCAGGGAGGAGGATTTGTCCTGGTCTTGGTTTTGCTATTCTTCATTTAGAGTATTTTGTGGCAAATTTGATTTGGCATTTTGAATGGAGTGCTGTGGATGGTGAAGATATTGATTTATCAGAGAAGATAGACATCACCATAAAGATGAAAAATCCATTGCGAGTTCATCTATCTTCGCGGTAGAATTGATTATGTTATTTGTTTACATAAATATTGCTCTGAACCCTTTTAATGTAATTCTTGTTGATGGTTGAAAATTTTGGAACCCATCAAATTTGATCTTCTTTTATTCCTTGCAAAAAAATTTTGTCTGAACTTAAAGAACATAGCAGTACATTATTTTTGTATTATTCATCATATCATACTATATAAATTTTTGGGATGATCCAAAATCTTAGGCAAATGGAGTGGGCTTTATGTGTTGCGCTTTGTGCTAGAAGTTGAGAATGGGTCTGATTAGTGTTCTTGGCTCATTTTAATGGAAAATGTCCCAGAGTTCTTGTAAAGGTTTGGAGCCCTATTATTTCCACCAAATGAGGTGAGATTATTTTGTCGCCTATTACATTCTTTCTCTCTTTTCTAATGAACTCTCCCCCCCCCCCCCCCCCCCCCCCCCCCCAAGCAAAAAAAAAAAAAAAGAACAGTACAAGATGGTTGTAATTTTCCATCAACCTAATGAATACACTAAGTACTACATAATATATATTAATATTGTTTGAATTGTGATGGGGACCTTGATTTTACATGAACGGGTACTATTTTAAAAGATAAAGATAGATAATTGCTCAAAGTGGTAATATGAATCATACTTGCAATTGCGGCATTAAAATATACAAATTGTTACCTTGGCTGGCTACAAGCAACCTGTTAGCAGCAGAGAATCCACAGGGATTGGAGAATACTTCCATTAATTAACTTGCAGTTATACAAGATTAAACTGACATTGTTGAAAGGGTGCATCAAATTATAAATAAAAGAGCAGGTGTAAACTAGTTGACTTGAGTGAAACTTCTTGCTTCTTTCTGAGTTGATTGGATCAAAATGCATTGACATCAAAGCATGTTGTGTTAAATTTCTGTGAGAGACACAGTCATAGCAAAGGGGTCATACCAAAAACTATATATATTCTGTCTCTATGTCTGACATTTAAATTAAATCCCAGTGGCAAATTATCAGCATTTTCAGTACCTAAAGAAAAAGATATTGCTAGGTCTGCAATGTAATCACTAATGAATGCCAGCCTCCTAGAGCTTACTTTTGCTGTTCTCACACATTTTTATTGAAAATATATGACCAAAAACTGTTTAATAACGGGGGTACTTGTCCAAAGTTTAGGGAGAAATAGAAACACATACTGCTATATGAATTTTTATACTCGGGCCTCCCTTTTCCATTGAATCTTACAAATCATTCGGTGAATATAATGCACTGGCCTTCAGAAAATGAAATTTCTGATTCAGCAGCACCTGATTGGTACTGAACAGGATTATTTAGTAAACTATTATTTGGTTTCTGTAAAAATAAAAAATAAAAATATAAGACTTTGTAGCTCTTCTGTCGATTACACATATGGTTGTACAATGTCAAAATCATTTATTGTAATACCATCAATATTTATGGAGGACTACACCAGAGAATAACATTTCTCTTCCCCAATAATGTAAATGAGCCTTCATTATAATAACCTTTAAATGTAGGTTCTAATACTAATTCTCATAATGCAAAATCAAATATACATGTAAGAAATCTAATGATAACGAAATATACAATTAACCATACCTGCTCGCTAGAGGTCTTCTCTTGATAATATATAGGAAACTTGTTCTACAAAAAAATTAATTTTGAATTAATGTAAATTTTATGATAATTTGTTCACATAAAAATGAATATCATTAAATGGTAAAAGTCATACTACAGTGTGTGGACCGACTCACTCAACTTGGGGAAACGAATGATCTTATAAAAACTCTGTATATAGAGATCAAAATGTGAGATACAAGCACAGCCAATTAACATTCTCTACCAAGTTAATTGATTTTAGCAATGGCATCTAAAGCTTTTCCCTTCTTCTCATTTGTAATTCTCCTTTTTCTCCTCTCTCAATATTCAGTTTTAGCAGACAACACCAATGACAAAAAACAATCACCATTTGAGTTCATCAATCATCTCCAAGGTTGTCATAAAGGCGACAAAGTTAAAGGCATCAATGAGCTCAAAAAATACCTTGAAAAGTTTGGTTACTTGAACTATAGCTCTTACAAAAATCAAAAGCATGCGAATGATGATGATTTTGATGAGCTATTGGAACCAGCTATCAAAACCTACCAGCTTAATTAGCATCTAAAGGTAGCTGGAGTTTTGGATGCCAAAACTGTATCCAAAATGATAATGCCTCGATATGGAATGGCAGATATTGTCAATGGTAAAACTCGGATGCGGTCTGGCCACAAAAGGCGAAATGCCTATGGCCATTTCCATACTGTCGCTCACTATGAGTTTTTACCTGGAAACCCTAAGTGGCGAGCAAACAAGTACCATCTCACATGTGCATTCCTTGCAGGGTCCCTGCGGATGCCATGAACCCTATTGCTAAAGCTTTTACAACATGGGCTGGAAACACTCATTTCACATTCTCAGTGACTCAGGGCATTGGAAACGCAGATCTCACGATTGGTTTCCACCATGGAGATCATGGAGATGGCAATCCTTTTGATGGGCATGGTGGAGTCTTGGATCATGCTTTTGCCCCAGACGATGGGAGGTCCCATTACGATGCGGATGAGACATGGTCTGTGGGTGCGGTAGAAGGTGCAATTGACTTGGAGAGCGTCGCATTGCATGAAATTGGGCATCTTCTTGGACTGGGACACAGCTCAGTTGAGGAAGCTATCATGTATAAGATTTAAGAAAGAGACGTAAATATGAAAATGTAGCTTTATGCTACTACTGTTGTATTGATTCATATATATAGAGTTAAATGATAACAAACTACGGTTACATGAAATCAGAAATGCGTACAAAGTCTTATCTCTATAATTCAAATACAAATAATAACAAGATGAACAAACTAGAATCTGTTGTAACAGATTGATCCTATTAATTTGACTTATCCTCTCTGTCACACGTTTGAATTTGAATGCCATATTTATCCTTAATGTCCCCCTTCGAGCTGATAGGGAGTGGACGAACTGAAAGCTTGTCTCGAAGATAAATGAAGCGGGAAGAGGTGAGGCCTTTGGTGAATATGTCAGCCAGCTGAACATAGGTGGACAGATATCGAAGAATTAAATCTTTTTGAGCAACCTTCTCACGTATGAAGTGATAATCAACTTCAATATGCTTAGTTCTGGCGTGAAACACTAGATTAGTAGCAAGTGACAAAGCTCCAATGTTATCACACCAAAGAGTAGGGGGAGCAAAGAGTGAAACGTGTAAATCAGCAAGGAGCATTCGAAGCCAAGATAACTCTGCAGTGGCAAAGGCCATGGCTCTGTATTCTGATTCTATACTGGACCTGGAGACAACTGGTTGCTTTTTGGCACTCCATGAAATCAAGCAGGGACCAAGGAACACTGCATAGCCAATTGTAGATCAACGATCCATGACATCACCTGCCCAGTCGGAGTCACTAAATGCTTGAAGTTGTAATAGACCTTTGGTGAAGTAGAGGTTGTGATGAAGTGTCCCTTTGAGATATCTCAATACACGCTTAGCTGCAGACCAATGTAGGGAAGTAGGTGCATGCATAAATTGACAAAGTTGGTTGACCACAAAGGCAAGTTCAGGCCAGGTGAGAGTGCAATATTGAAGAGCACCAACCACTTGTCTGTAAGTGGTAATGTCTTGAATTGGATCACCATCATTTCGGGACAGCTTTGTACCTGCAGCTAAGGGTGTGGAACAGGGTTTTAGCTCCTGCCATGTTTGCTCGATGGAGCACATCTGTAATGTATTTTGATTGAGAGAGGTAGAGTCCAAACTGATTTCTAACAACTTGAATGCCGAGGAAGTAATTTAGGGAACCTAAATCCTTCATGGCAAAACTCTTCTTCAACTTGGTAATAAGATTCATGATGAAGGACAGATGAGTGCCTGTAACAATTAGATCATCAACATATACAAGGACAAAAATATGAACACTAGATTTGTGATAGGTAAATAGGGAGTAATCAACATGTGATTCAGAAAATCCAAATTGAAGTAGAGTTTGAGAGAGCCGATGGAACTAGGCTCTAGGTGCCTGTTTTAGGCCATAGAGTGACTTGTGCAATTTGCATACATGATTGGGAAAAGAGGCATCAATGAAGCCAGGTGGTTGCTCTATAAAGAATTTCTCCTTAAGGTACCCATGTAAGAAGGCATTGGAAACATCCAATTGTCTTAAGGGCAAATTGAAGTGAACTGCTAGTGTCAAAATGATTCGGATTGTAGATGGTTTGATGACATGACTGAAAATTTCAAAGTAGTCCAATCCATCCAATTATTGAAATCCTTTTGCTACCAACCTGGATTTAAACCTGTCAATTGAGCCATCAACCTTTTGTTTGACCTTATAAACCCATTTATTTCGAATGACATTACCATGGGTTGGTCTGGGACATAAGGACCAGGTGCCATTAACCTGTAATGCTCGAAATTCTTCATGCATTGCTGCACACCAGATAGGATCCTTAGCAGCTTGGTGAAATGTGGAAGGAGCAGTAGGAATGGCCTATGAGATAAGTGCACATAAAGGGTATTTGGTGGAGTAATAGAGGTGGAAGTCAGGAAAGGTTTTGGGTTGAGAGGAACCTGTTTTGGATCGGGTCAACATGGGATGATTGTTTAATGGTTCCTCTATGGGTGATGGGGAGGTGCTGTGGTCAGGCATGTCATATTCTGGATTGGGAGATTCAGAGATAGGTGAGCTAGAGCTGAGTGGTGTGACATCAGGTTCTGAATGTTGAGATTCAAAAATAGGTGTGTGAGTGGTGATGGGTGAGTTGGTAGCTTCTGGAGGTGGAGAGTCATGGGTTGATGATGCAAGGGATGTATGTGGAAGTAAAGGTGATGAAGAAAATGAAGGAAAAATGGTTACCTGGAGAATAGATGATGACTTATGTGAAGAAGGTTCCAGCATCGAGCTAGGATTCTTTGCTAGAGGCTGAGTAGAAGAAGAACCTGATGAGTGTGCTGGAAATTGAGTTTCATCAAAAAAAAAAAAAACATGGCGGCTGAGATAAACACGATTGGTGGAAGGATCAAGACACCTGTATCCCTTGTGATTGGAACTATATCCTAGGAAAATACATTTTTTGGATCGATAGAGGAGTTTGTGGGAATTGTATGGTCTGAGTAGTGGGTAACAGGTGCAGCCAAATACTTTGATGAAAGAGTAGTCTGGGGTTTTGTTAAGTAGGAGTTGAAATGGAGTTATGTGATTTAGGACAGCGGTTGGAAGTCTATTAATGAGAAAAATGGCTGTATTGAAAGCTTCTACCCAATAGTTAAGAGGCAGATGAGCATGGGCCAGCATGGCTAATCCAGTTTCAGTCACATGTCTATGCTTCCTCTCGGCAACCCCATTTTGTTGGGGAGTGTGAGGGCATGACATGTGATGAAGAATACCATTAGACTGAAGAAAGTCCTTAAACTGATGTGAGGTGAATTCACCACCTCCATCGGATTGTAGGCATTTGATTTTTGTGTTAAGGAGATTTTCAGCATATCCTTTAAATTTAAGGAAACAATTAAAGGCCTCTGATTTAGTATGTAATGGATATAGCCAAGAGAAGCGAGAAAAATCATCAATGAATATTATATAATATCGACAGCCACTTATTGAAGAAACAAGAGAACACCACAAATCAGTGTGGATTATTTCAAGAGGACACTTGGACACGCGACTAGAAACAGGAAAAACTAATCGTTTGCTTTTAGCCAATTGACAAGGTTCACAAAGTGAACCATTGTGTGCATGGCCTTTGACAAAGATATGACTCCTAGACTCTAAGACTTTGACAACTTGAGAAGCTGGATGTCCCAAACGCAGGTGCCAGGTAGATAGGTTTGCTGCAACTCCAAGTTGGGCAGTGAAGGCAGAGATTTTATTGTGGGCAGTGAAGGCAGAGATTTTATTGTGGACTGAGTTGTTAAGAGAGGTGGCAAGGGAAATTGGATATAGTCCATTTCTACTTGGCCCTTGTAAAAGAATCTGGCCCGTGAGGTTGTCCTCACAACAAATGAATCAGCAGTTAGTTTAAACCAGCAGTTGTTGACAAAATTTTTGAATAGAAAGGAAGTTAGTGGCAGCAGTAGGGTAGTGTAAAATATTCTTTAAACAAAGAGGCATGGAAGAGGTTTGAAGTTTGGTGAAACCAATATGAGCAATGTGCAAACCTGAGCCATTACCTACTGCTACTTCAGTTTCACCTTGATAAGGTTCACTGATGTGCAGGTTATTGAGATCAGAGGTTATGTGACTGTTGGCACCACTATCAGCTAGCCAAGTCTGATTTTCAGGGCTGAGATTATTGGGTGTTGCAGCCATTGCAGCAAGTTGAGCTGGAGGATGACGTCCCTTGTATGCAAAGTCCATTAAGTGATAGCAGTCAATAGCCAAGTGGCCAAGTTTGCCACAAATTTAACACTGAGGTCGAGGAGAATTTGTTGTAGAAGAAGCATTAGATCGAGAGTCCTTTGCTGTCTCAGGTTTTTTGAATGGTAATTCTGGTTGGGCTTAAAGTGACCTCCAGAGAATTGCTTCTTGTGAGAGTTGGGATTATATTTCTTCTGGTGAGAAAACAAAGCAAACCCTCCTGACTTTGTAGTGGAATTATGACTCTGGACCATGAGTTCATAGTTGAGCAGTTCTGTCTGAAATTCATCAAATGAAAGTGATGTTTGGCGTGTTGCAAAAGAATAGGAAATAACAAAGGCATAAAATGAGGAGTTTAAGCCACTGATCAAATAAGATATCAGATCATCATCATCAACAGGCTTTCCAACAATAGCCAGCTGATCAAATAGTGATTTAGCAGTCTGAAGAAAATCACTGCAGGTTCTGGAGCCTTGGTGTAGAGATTTGTTAGGGCCAAAAATCGTCCTCGGCCCAAATAGGGAAACAAGATCACTGGTGAAGAATGACCAGGCCCAATCTTGCAAAGGCCCAATTAGGATTAGCCCTATCTCTCACGAAGTATAACTGGCCCGAACTACATGGGCGCGAGCCTATTAAGCTCTGTCCAATATCTATGCCTATAGGTGAGCCCAGAGCCCATAGCCCCTTCAACATTTTCCCATTCTTGATCAATCCCCTATTCAAGGTCATCTTCCTCTTTCTTGGCGACTTTCCTACTTGAGGGTCATTCTCCTAAATGGAATTAACTTCCTATTTAGACACTGATAAGGACAGCTGATTACGGCCCTGATTCTTCTAGGGTTGGCATCACAGTCACACTAGGACTCCTGCTCCCACCAGGATTGGAAGACCAGACGACCACTATATAAGCAGAGGCCAGCCCTCTCATAAGGGACATCGACATTACACCTTCACACCCGAGACTCTTTACTCAAGAGTTTCACTTATTCGCCATAGTCATAGTCCCCGACTAGACTTCCGGTAATCTCTTATTCCCTAGCCCTTACTATATTAGCCTTTCAGCCTTGCTGACTTGAGCGTCGGAGTGCCTACGGCAAACACCACCTTGGTGTTTCCCGTTCGCTTCACGCGTGTGTTTCTCTACGTGTGTACGTACAGTAGATCGCTAGTGGCCTCAACCTCACGGGATCAGACCCCTCTTTCCGTACAGGTAGATTTTTACGTCTACAGTTTGGCACCCACCGTGGGACCTCTAGCAATCATTCAGCGTGACGAACCTTGCTAAGTGGAGGAATATTCCATGGCTGACAATCCAGACAACGTTAACTCAGGCCTCGAGGCCAGACTGGAGGCTTTGACTGCTCTCATGCAACAAAACTTAGACAAGGTGGCCGCACTGGAAGCCGAAAACACATCCATCAGGGTCGAGAACCAGTCGCTAAAAGAGAAAGTAAGTCGATTCTATGAACTCGAGTTTCTGCCCGACCAAGCACCCCCCAATCGGTTCCGCACCATTATCCCATCCATGCAACCCCTATCCACACCAGAGCATCAACCCTCGGATTTTGGTAAAGGGCCGCGTCCACTTAACGCATTGGCGCTCGACTACTCCGTTCTGACTAACGGAGATAAAGATACAACAGGGCGCGGTCCAGTCGACCCATCCCAGCCTCATGATCAAAACGATCCAACAATAGAGAACCCGAAGGATTAACCCATCTCCACCATACCACTTCCCCTCCAGTCAACCCAAACACAAACTCCCTCCTGCCTGGCTCACCCTCAGCGGGGTGAACGGCCAAACCAAACCAACTCCAGCTCTTGAGCCCATCCATCCCGAAAGACTGAACGACTACCAGACAACTCCCCTGACCGTTCATGTAGGGAAGAACAACAGAACAGTGACAATGGGAGTCATCCAACCAGAAGGGATGAACGAAGACACATGCTACCAAGGAGCGCATGACGGACTAATCTATCAGTCTACCCCCCGAGGGATGACCACACGAGACGTACCAGACCCGATAAGACGGGATGACCCAATAGTATCCCCTTCCCCTGTGGAACAGTTACTGGCCAAGAGACTGGCCGACGTTGAGGTAGTAATGAGGCGTATCCTAGGAATGCCAATCCCAACCAAGAAGAGCAGACCGAATTGTTACGCCGATTCATCTTTTGCGGACGAGATCGCCCTGGCTGACATGCCGCAGAAATTCACTATCCCCAACATGAAACCATATGACGGTACCACTGACCCGGACGACCATATAGCCTCATACAAGCAGCGGATGTTCACTGTTTCCATACCCCGACCTCTTAGAGAAGCCTGCATATGCAAAAGTTTCGGTTCTAGTTTGTCCAGCTCGGCGCTCCAATGGTACACGAATCTCCCGAACGGGTCTATCGNGAAAAAAAAATTAGAATTTAATTTTAAAACTACGTGTTATAATAGTAGGGTTTGACATTTATTTAAGATACTAATTTACTGTCGTCTAATTGTTAGGGAAGTGAAGCAATTGAATGCATCTCCTTGGATATTTCTAAAATAAAAGAGATAAACTTGAAGTGCAATGCTTTCTTGAAGATGCAAAACCTCAGATTCTTGGACTTTTATTGCCTGAACAAGCTAAGTCGACGTGTTCTCTGGGGCAGTAACTGTAGACGGTGGTGTTTTTATTGCATGTGTTCCATTTCCGACTTCCTCGAGGTTAAGACCTGTTTATATTGCTCAGTGGATGAAGAGAATGTGAATAAGGTGCATGCTTTGCAGGGCCTAGAATTCAGTTCATGTAACATAAGCTTCTTTCGCTGGTTTGGATATCCTTTGGATTCTTTGCCATCAAATTTTGAGTTGGAAAATCTTTTTGCACTTATCATGCCATGGAGCAAAATTAAACAACTCTGGAATGGTCTCCAGGTATAAACATTTATCTTCATATTCTCTTTTTGTAGAAAATCATAAAGCTGATCATATAATTTATGTTACGTCTTCATCTCAATTTATTATTTGAAGCATTTAGAGAAGTTGAAGCATATCAACCCCATCCACTCCAAGCACCTAATTAGAATTCCAGATCTCTCATTAGCCCCAAATCTTGAGAGTTTGATTCTAGAAAGTTGTACAAGTTTGATTGAGGTTCATTCATCAATTCAATATCTAAATAAGCTGGTTATCTTGAATCTTAAAGGTTGCAAAAGCCTTAACAGTCTTCCTATCAACATTCAATCAAAATTTCTTAGATATCTCATTCTCTCTGGTTGCTCAAATCTCAAGAAGGCTCCAAAGATCACATGTAACATGGAGAATGTATATTTTGATGGAACATCTATAACAGAGTTGCCCTTGATTGAATATCCATCAAGATTACGTTGCTTGGATCTTGAAAACTGTTCAAGGCTTGAAATTCTCCCAAGCGACATTTGTGAGTTGAAGATTCTTTGTAGTCTTAAACTCAAGGGTTGCTCAAAACTCCATAATTTGCCCCAGCAGTTAGGAAAATTGAAGAGCCTTTGTAGCTTATCCTTGAGCGGATATAGGGGTCAAGATCCAAAGGTGGGTTCAAAATGGTCTCTTTTATCATATTTAAGCTTTCTATATGATTTAGATTTATCTGATTGTAAAATCATGAGATTACTCGATACTCTTGGTAAAGTTTACTTTCTAAGAATATTAAATCTAAGCGGAAACAATTTTGAATGGATGCCATCAAGCTTCAAAAAACTTAAATTGAAGTATCTAGACATAAGCTATTGTGAGAGGCTTAAATGCTCACCATTAGGCGCTTCAACTGCTGAAACATACAATTGTATATCATTGGAGTTATGGGATTTTTATTTATCCTCGTCAGTAAGGGCCAACTTTGGTAAATGTTTAAAACTGGATCAGAAGCTGAAAGCCAATTTGGGAGAGGTATGACTTCCATTCTCTAGATTTCCTTTATAAGATCGATGTCTTTTATTTTATATTTTAACATATGCTGTTAAATATTCTTTTTGTACAGAGTCTGTATGGGTTGCCAGGTGCTTTTCTTTATCCTGGGAATAAAATTCCGGAGTGGTTTAGCTTCCAAAATGTGGGATCTACTATAACTCTCGAGGTGCCACCATTATCTCATTGTGAACTCTTCTCTGTGATTGAAGTCTGCCTTGTTGTAACATCTCAAGACCATGAAAAAGCTCCCCAATCTTTGGTTTTTCATTATAAGGTGATTGGCATAGATGAAAATGGTAAGAGGCAGGGGATGGAAGAACTGACACACACAACAATAAAAACGGCACACGTAGCAAGATTTAAATGCAACAGTCTTATGTCAGAACATGTAATGTTGTCGACTGTTGTCACAAGTTTTGAGGCCAAAAAAAGTACCCGGTATCTTACTTTTGATTTCAGTGGAAAATATTACAATGCGGTGAAGTGTGGGCTTCATATAAATGACTGCTACTGTTCTGAAGAACAAGTCAAACAAGTGAAACAATACAAAGGAGATTTCAGCTCAAACATGGAGGAGGAATCACAACCCAAAAGACTGAAATTTTAATTCCTTTTCATTCAGGTAAAGCTCTTGTTGTTTCTGAATTCGTAAAATTAGATTTTACGTGTAATGAATTCATCAATCTTCAATGCCACTCATAGAATCATTAGTAATTAATAAATTAATTATTGGCATAGAATAGACAAATATGGTTAGAGGCAGAGAGGACTTCTCTGCATAATTCCATCGAATGAAGATGAATTATTTTGAAAAAACTTAATCGTATCTTCCCAGGTGACAATAAGGACTTGATTGGATTAGAATCAAGAATCAACCACCATTAAGTTTAAAAACTTAATCGTTGTTCTTGTTTTAATTTTGGTTCGAATGTTGAGGGGTTCTGTGGCTTTAGTGTAAAGGAGGTCAGCCATGGAGAGCAGTTTGTCTCTTCATATAATCCAAGATGGGTAAGCATAAAGCTGCCTTTTTTAAAAAATAATAATAATAATAATAATTTGATTTTTTTTTGTAGAATCTTTTGTGAGTGGTGGTCGACTGGGTTGGATTTCACTTCTTGTGGGGATTTTGCAATGTGGAGGTGTTTTCGAGCTAATTGTGGATGGGCAGGCCAGGTAATCCCTTCTTGTAGAAGTACTTCTGCTTCTTATTGAAGTACTTCTGCTTTTGACTATCAAAAAGACAAGTTAAAAAGCTCTCAACCTTACATTTCAAGTTTTCCTTCTTATGAGTTCATAATTCGTATGCTAAACTATTTCATAAATCCAAATTCGGTTCCTTCCTGTAATATTGTATTGAGCGTTTGGCAGACCAAAATTTGGTGTATGCTATTTCTTGGTCAATTGATAACTTCAGTTGTAGGCCTTTGCAGACAGCAACAACAATATAAAAGTTTTTTCATCGAAACAAATGACAGAAAAGAGCTTAGTATTAGAACCACTGGGTGACAAGGCATGTATACTGACTTCTCTTCTTATATTTCTTATAAGCTTCTTTCTTTGTTTGTTGAATTATACTATATTCGAGGAATTGTCAAGTTATGTCTTGCAAGAGTCTAAATCCTATTAATTGAGAGTCCTTATTCGTTGAGCTTGATAATGATTCAGTATTTATATTCCGTCTTTGTTTCAGCTAATTGCATATTTTGCTGAGCGAATGATATCTGAAGGAACTCTCTAGAGAAATTCTGTTATGCAGTTATTTGGTGATCAGGTTTCTTTTCAACTGCAGCTACCTAGTTCTTTTCAATAATCTTTTGATTTAATTCTTATCATTTATATTATAAAAAGTCATTTTGACATTGAACAATTTTTAGAATGATACCATCGTATGGATGACTGAAAATAGATTATAGTAAGGGATAAGTTTGTTGGAATTCTTGTTGAAGTGGAATGCATTGAAACAACCCTAATCTAATAGTAGGTACCATGAATCCCTTTCGCAAGATTGATCCTTAGTATAATTAGTTCAGCCATAAAATTTGACGAGCACAAAATAATGCATCTTGCTATCATTTATTTGATTGAGTAAGCTTGTGGCCCTGTTAAAAGGGCTAATTCTTATTTATAGCTAGTTGGCCATGTGGTTGTGGCAGAAGCCAAGGTGTAGGAAATGATTGCAACTAGTGGGCAAGATAGAATCTTGTTGAAGTAGCTTTTTAAGTTCCTTTGAAAGTATCATTCGGAAATGAAAATAGATTCACATTTGGGATCAATTGTTCCAATCTAGAACTATTAGGGTATGTCACGATTTGATCAACTAAGTTTGTAAGAGTTAATTCACTTTACTCCTCACTGCATTCAGTTTCCTTTCTATTCCCATTAGCATGTGGATGTTAGCAGTTGTTGACGTAAGGCACTATTTTTTCTTTGCCCATGGTTTTGATTAATCTGTTGAGTTTTTATCTATATTTAGTTATCAGTGTAATATAATACATCAAGCAATTTATATTTATAGATGCAAGTCTTGGTAGCTTATTTGACTTGTCGATTCCGGAGTATCTTAACATTTTTATTCTCAACTATGCACATGGCAAACGCTGTAAACCTCAGATAAGATATCTACATGTATGAAGGTTCTTTCCCTCATCTTGAAGTTTGCTTTCCAACCACTAATAATTTTTTTGTAAATAGGCTGTCATAACTATCCCTTTTAGACAAATGGGGTGGTCGTTGGTTGCAAGTACTGAACCTGCCGGGAGAAAAAAATTTGGCAGGTGTTTGTGCTAATCCTGTCCTTGGATTGTTGAATGGGTGAATATAGTTTGATATACCAATGGAATGGCAGAGATATAAGTGGGAAATAATTGATATAGCGCGGCCACATAAAATGCTATAATTAATGTGTTTTGGCTTTCAGAAAAGCAATTCCAGAGAGTTGATTAAGATCACATGGTAACTGACTCCCAAGTCCTAGATTGATGGATTATCTCACTGCACTGTGAATTATCCACAAACAATATCCTAAGATCACTCCTAGTTCCGGTAAGAATAGTAATATGGAAAAAAATGGGTCGGCACAGCCCATTTTACACTTCCAGTTCTAGCCTATGGTTTCAGTTTAAGTTCTTTATTCCTAAGCTTAAGGATACTGTTTCTTTCATTTGTTGTGTGGGGATACTGAATTTTTCCATAGTACATAAAAGTGCCATTTCAGTACCTGTCATTCCTGTTTTGTCAATCTTAAATCAAGTGTGGCTGCATTGTAGTCTGATTTTCTTGTTGGATTGTTGCTTTCATTTCAGGAGAGCAGCACAGAGAAATGGTTATTTGGACTTGATGATATAAAGGAAGCTGCTGAAATCATCATTGTAAATACCACCAAATCATACTTTTGCTTCTTTTACTCAGTAATTTAAAGCCCTTTCTCTACTGATTTTTATTATTTGATGCTGATCATAGGTTGAAGGTGAAATGGATAAGCTTGCGATGGAGGAAGCCGGCTTCCTAAATTGTGTAAGTGTTCCTTGTGGAGCACCACAAAAGGCTTCTGCTAGAGAATTACCACCACAGGAAAAGGTTTGGTTCGGGACTTGGAAATTTTGGAGCCTGTGATGATGATTTATACAAATGTATTAATTTCCCAAGTTTTTGGGTCGAGATGCTCTAAGGAAGTAATTCAAAACGCGGAGTTGTATCAGCTGCAAGTTCCAAACTAAGCAATGTAGTGTACATAAAGCTCATATGAATGTATGAAACACATTAATTACAGGGTTTCTTTTCTTTCATTTTTTTTTAATTGAATTTTTTTTTTTTTTTTTTTTTTCAAATAGCTTGGTTATGAACTTTTTCTTGAATCAGTAGAAGATAACTGATGATGCCTTTATTTTTCATATTTTCGTTTCAATTTTCTGGTAAAGATTTGCAGCGATTGCCAGTCTTGTCATCAAACAAACAAATGGCAAACTTTTTTCCTTGAATTTCATGTATTGAAAGATTTCTTCGCCATAAAGTTATTCAAAGGTTTTCCCTGATTATTGAAAGGGCAAAACAAAAAAGAAAGTTTGTATCATTCATCGTAGTGAACACAACAAAAAAACAATGTTTCAGTTTCGATAAAGAAAACAAAAATTCTTCATCTCAGTCTTAGATGTAACAAATCAAACACAAAAATGGTTGGTAAACAAAATAAATGGAGTGAACTAACTGTTTCTTCAACAAGTTTTTTTGATAATTTTATTTAAGGTTAATCTGGTTAAATAATCAAAGCAAAAAATGTATATAAAGGGAGCCTAAAGATTATTTCCCCTTTTAATAAAAGAAAAAAAAATTATATGGACTTGTATTTGGGCCAACCGAGATCCAATTACCCAAACCCAAAACTATGCAACATCCTGCTTTCTCCTCTCTTTAATAGACAAAACGAGACAAAAGGGGAATTCAAAGCCTGTAAACCAATGTTTTAAAAACCGGATCGAGCCTTGACCTGGGAAGGGCTCAGTTCATGGTTTGACAGATTAAACCGGTAGTTAAACTGGTGGTCTAAAAAGTTTAAAATCTTACAAAAACACCCCTAAAAGCTATTTCAGTCACTATAGGTTTGAAATATAAAAAATAAAACCCTACGATCTGCTTGGGTTTTGACTTTTCTAGCCAAATTCCAGCTGATTCTAGCAGCCAAAATTCAATCCGACACCACCGTCCTCCACTCTACAAAACCCCTATAACCCCGAAACTTAGTAGCCCCTCGTTCGCCGGTTGTGATTCACGAACATCACTGTGATTGGGTGGATTTTTCCAGATAATTCTAGCTGATTTCGACATCAAAAATTCAATCCAACACCACCACCTAAACCACCAACCTCCACTTTTCAAAATCCATCTAACCCCGACACTTGGTAGCCCCCCATTCACTAGTTGGGACTCGCATATTAGGTTAATTTTTCCTACCAAATTTCAGCTGATTCCAGTGTCCAAAATTCAATCCAACACCACCTACCTGAACCACCGGCCTCCCCTCTACAAAAGTCCTCTAACTCTAGCACTTGGTAGCCTCTTGTTTGCCAGTGGTAAGATTAGGGATTTGGGTGAACAATAAAATTGAAAATTTAGATGGAAAAGGACGCCGGTCGACAGTCGTGTTGGAGTAGGTGCCTAGAGCCAATCAATTTTTGTGGAATTGACTCTTTGTAATAATGTTAATCAATCAATAAAATGCATTTTCTACTATATCATGTAAATCATAGTAGTATGTATTGATATATGTCCTTAGGATGGTAAAACCGTGACGAGTGTATCAAGTTTTCAAATTTTGATAGTGAGAACCCTATGATCACATATGATGGCCATTCTAGAAATTTCCGTAGCCCCAATATTATCCTGACCAAGGGCACAAATAATACAGTAAGACTATCATAGTGTTGAACGACCCTGTCGACCTACCAGAGGATTCTATATAGATGGTAACCCCAGTGTCTATGGAACAATTCATCTAACGAATAGTGGTGCATGTGATCCTTAGACTTGAGATCATCGGAGCGTCTTGTGCACCGATTGGTGTAGTTTGACACTAGCCCAAAATTAGTTCTATTCAAAGCTATCAATACAATAGTGATTGGCTGCATTGAGGAGTGTATCAAGACAATGATAGATCAACAGAGGATTCATCACTCTAAGGTACGAGAGAAGTTATCTTACGACGCAATTCAGTAAATGGTAATGACACTGAAGATGTTGTCATAGTGGGATTGAGTTGTTGCTCAATCTAATTTATTATTTCGGTCATTGGTCTAGTAACTGAATACAAAGATATCGAGGATAACTGAGGTTGACACTATTTTTGTACCTCAGTCTCGATGAGATAACAGATGATGAAAGAATTTGATTGCACGGTAACCATATCGTTGATAGGTAGCTATTTTGCTAAATCTGAATCTATCGGGTGACCATGATGCCTTGCTAGGGGTCAATCTTGGTATGTATATAGTGAGATGATTAATTGGTGTTAATCGCGATATTACTTACTGCCAGTATGATGAGAAGTCTATGGGTCACACACTTAGAAAATAATTTAAGAATCTTTTTATGCAAGGGGTAATTTCGTTTTTTAAGATGAAATGGTATTTTGGTAATCTCACGTACAGTGTAATTAAATTTGTTGAGATTGTTGCCTATATTTAATTTAATGTTAAAATTAAATTAGTAAGATTATATTTAAATATACGTACGCATATATTTAAATGAATTATTATTGTTAATTACATGTTAATATATTTTATAAATATATACTAATTGATTTTAATTATAATAATAATTAATTAAAAATAAAATACCATAAGAAAGGTGTTTGGATACAAGGGTGGATTAGGGTTGGAGCCCATGCCTATTCCTTATAGGAATAGGGTTTTGGCACATGCACTATACAAGTGCATGTGTGTTAAAGAAATTCATTCAATTTGATTGAATTCATTTTATTGAAAAAGAGGCAACTCTCTCTCCTTTCTCTCACATTTCCCTTTGTGTGTGAATCAAAGATTTTCTTTGATTCAAGTTGTTTCTTGAAGCCATTAAGTGGATCTAGCAGATCCCTTCTTAGTTATTCAGTTTGTCTAAGACTCTTTGTGTGAATCACCGTTCGTTCAGTTCTACGTTGAATCGGTAGCAAAGTAAATCTAAAGACATTTGAAGAAACCTCCAA